TTTGTTCACAGATTTTTGAATCAAATCATCCTCCTATCATTTTCTATGTCATTTTGGGTGTCTCTCTATTTGCCTCAGTTCCATAGAAAATAAAGTGATAATTATAATACCATTACTTCACAGGATTCTTATAAGAACTAAATGATAGGCTACATGGGATGGTGTTTATAACACCAGAAGCAGTAAATAAGTAACAGCTATCATTAATTATAACAAAAAAATCTTTCTGCAAAAGAAAGTGTCCAAACCTCTCCTAAAATCTTTGCCTTCCTGAAAAACCATTCTAGAAGAGTGTATGATTTCTTGATATGGTGGAGAATGACTTAATATTTTTTTGAGGATGTCTTCCCATAGAACCATACTAGGAAATATTTGACTATCTTTTGGGCGGCGGGGCTTATTTCCATTTGCCAAATGTCTGTCATATACCAAAGGGCAAAGGATAATATATGAAGCACAACACGTTATTCCTCTTTCAAAGTTAAATACTAAGGTGTCTGGATGTTGGTACCAGTGGGAGGGGGGGGATATAAGGCAAGGGTGAAGGAAGGGGAATATGGTGGAAATACTATGTACTCGTGTATGAAAATGGAACAATGAGTTGAAACTATTCTAAGGGAGGAGGGAAGGGAATAAAGGACAATGATGGAGTGGATGAATTTAATATATTGTTAGCACTTTTGTAAATGTCACAATATACCCCCAGTATAATATAATAATAAAAATAAAAACAAAAAAAATGAAAAAAAAAACCTTGTTGGCAAATGTAAAAAATGTTTACTTTAGCCACATCAAATACCATGAAAATCTACCGAAACCCATGCCCCATGCTATACTGAGTAAATGCAAAAGCAGTAGCAGCTGGGTTCCTAGCCAATGGAATGAGGTTGAAGTGCTGAGATGATGAGACTAACATGTATGAAGCAACCAGAGTCACTAAGGGAATTTAGCAAGTGCTAAGTTGCATGAGACAGTTCATAAAAGAGTTGTAGAAATTCTGGGAATGAAGTTTGAGTTGTAGGGTGGTTTTCTGGGAACGGAGTTTGAATTGTAAGGTAGTTAGGAAAGCTGTAACCAGGACAAGAGAGAAGAAATTTATCAATTACTGTACATATGATCTTGGTTAATTTAGCTAAATCTCTTAGCATTACTAATTCTTCTTTCATAAAATTTGACAATTTAATGCATATGTGAAATGCCTAGTACATTCTAAGGTAAGTCAGGTTTGTGATGGGTCTTAGAGAATGGGCAGCATCTGCCTACAGAGAGAATGTCTCAAATAACAAGACTGCTTGTGTCATGTATGAGTGACACCCGAGACTTTCTGATCAAAAAGATAGAGAAAAACCCACACAGATAATAATAAGCACAATTTTCTGTGCCAAATAAACACTTGAGTTTTTTTCCTGCATGGTAAAATAACTCCTTGAGCATTTGAGTCTTGGTGCAGGTTGAAATTCCAGAGAGTTCCTCCTTTCAAGTAAAGATTCTTTCTTTTAAAAAAGATATGGCATAGCGTATATATACTTCCTTTTCCCTTTAAAATCCTTGCCTGCTGGATGCCATGGCTAAGTCTATAATACCAGCTGCTCTGGAGATGGAGATTGGGAGGATCAGGATCTCAACTGGAAGCCAGCCTGTACAAAAGGTTTGCCAGACCCAAAGGTTTGCCAGAACCCATCTCACCTGTCATCCCAGCTATGCAGGAAACAAAATGGGAGATTGCAATCTAGTCCAGTCTGCCTTTCATTGGCCCTTCTCTTGAGCACTTGTTCAAAAGGAATCATAACCTGAGGTCTCTATTACCAGTCACAATCTAATGTGATTTCCAGTTAGTTAAAATTAAAAGAATTTTAAGTTTATCTTCTTCTCTAAATAAGTCAATCAAATACAAATATTCCATTGCACAGCTTTTCAAATGTTGAAGAGAAGGCAGAGTTCCTTCACAACATTTCAAAACTATCTGGGAAAATTACATTCAGCAGAGCCCTGATTACATTTTCATACAACATTTGTAACTGGAGGCTTTTTTAAAATTATCAGTAAGAACACTAACTACTTGCATAGCTATTATAATGGTGAACATGACAATGGAGCTGTATTTTCTAGGAATGATCAAAGCTTGGCACACTTTTTCTGCTTAAAAAAATAGAAGGCATACTGGAGTAATAAAAGTCTCCATGGTAGGCTAAATTAAATTATTCCAGTTTCAAGACAGAAGATCATTTCATGGCAATTAAAAAGAAGCAGGCCTTGTGGAAAGTTCTATCATTCAGACTTATCTGTATGAAAAATAATTTCAGCCATTTATCATAGGATTTACATACATTTATCACAGAGAGAAATAAAGTAAGGCCTGGAATCAGTTGGCTTGTCTAAAAGGGGGAGAAGAATCCAAAATTTTGGTAGTTTTTAGACTGGAGGTTAGGAGACAGAAAACGGTCAGGCAGAACAGGGTGAACTGGATGGAAACTTACCAAGGATACAGAGATGAGATAAACAGATGTGGGAGTCTGAGGAATCTTGAAAGTACTGAGACATACGAATGGTACATGAGCCTTGATAGGATGCTGGCCTGCTACACCGAATCTCACCCATCGGGAAGGGAAAAAGGGGCAATACATAGTGTCCCCATGGAACACATTGTCTGGTGATGACATACATTCCCTAAATGGACCAATAGCACAGAGACACAACCAGCTTCCTTCCAACCAGGAAATAAAATCCTTATGAAAACCACTAGACAAACAGCTTCCGGGGCTCAGTCTTTCTGTATATGGGAGCTTTTCCCTCTCTGCTTAAATAAAACTGCTGTTTTGCTTACCCTGCTGTCCAACTTTCATTCTTCAAGCACAGGAGACAAAGTTCTTGGCAACTACTACAGTGTACCTGAGACCAGACCATTGCAACAGTCTGAGGCTTTGGTTTATAAACTCCTCCAAATATGTTGATCTTTCAAACTTCGTTTGTCATACTGTGTGACCACACAAATGTAAATTATTTGTAAAACAAAATTGTATGGTTTTAGAAGCTTTGATGCATACATAGAAATTCATTCTCCTTACCAGGATCTTGTTTTTTTATATATAGCAGCCCTCTGGTTTGCTAATGGCAGACAGGTAAGATAGCAAGGTGACCATACATGTTAAGCATCAAGTTGCAAGTAGGAGAACTTTATTTTGTTCATTTGCTCTTTTATTTAACAGTTTAATGATCTATTGAATACGTTGCAGTGTGGGAGGCACTAAGTAAACAGGTAAACACAACCATGACCTTATCCTCTTGTAGCTTTTTCTAATATTTTTGATGGTATGTTTGGGTTTTAATTTTGTCTTTTTGTGTATTGTGTAAGGGTATTTCTGCCAAAGAGACTCAAGCAGTGAACAATCATAGCTGCCGTGTAGGATCTCATGGAAAAAAGGGGCTGCTGTTAGAAACAATTTGAGGCATAATGGGTTCATAATGGGTTCTGAGGATTAGAACATGGACATCTGGGGAATCATCAGCCTATGACACAGGTCAATCCTGCAGAAAGAAAAGTTTACCTCTTTTACACCTGAGTCAACTACATGTTGCATTCTACAGCATTGTTGACTACTTCAAAGGTAAATGGGTTATATATTTTAATTGGATTTCCATCATTAAATAATGGGTGTTCCCCACTGATATTTCTTTTGATAACACCAGTTTAACTTATATTGTACCAGGTTGTTACCATCAGTGACTCTATCTTACTTTATCATTGTCACTTTGTCAATCCCAATAGCCTTCAATCTGCATTCTGGTGGTCTTGACCTCAAAATAAGAACAGGCCATTACTAGGAAATTATCAGGTCTGGTGGCATCAAAACACCAGATTGCCTGACTCAAGTTCCTAGGCAATGCTGGTTTCTGCTAGGACTAATATCATAAATGTCTCCCTACTACTCCCAAAGACTTGGTAGGTGGTACTTGAATCATTAATGTCTGTCCTTTTCCAGAATGCTACCATCTTCCCAACACTCCTTTTCAGCACTGGTTTCCCTAGAGTGGGGTAAGCTTCAGAACCTGAATGCAGTAACAATAACCTAGCAAACTAAAGTAAGCAAAAAGATAATGACAACCCTCTAAAATGAACTCTATGAGCTGATTGTCATGGATAGGCATTTTATTGGAGCCAAACTTTTCTACTTTACAGAATGAAACACTTAATAAACTAATAGTTTGTGGGACTGGAAATAGCTATCAGTTTCTTTTTATTGTAGTAAGTGGGCATGGAATAAAATTTAGCAAACTGTTCTTGGCTGAATTCCTATGGATATTATGGAACACAAACTTTGGTAAGGATTAGAAATTGAGAACTAGCAATGAATAATACGCATCACTGTGATGATAGAGGCTGCTGTCTTTTCTCCTAGTAGTGTTTAGGGACTAAATGATTTTTATTTTGTTTTGTTGAGACAAAGGCTTACTATGTAGCCTAGGCTGGTCTCGAACTCGCACTCCTCCTTGCCTCAAGCCTCCCTTGACAGTCTCCACGCCCCATAGGTATTTTTAACCAATGTCGCTTCTATTTAAGGAAAGGGAAATATTTAGCCATTTATTTTAGTTAAAAATAAGAGATTTTTTTTTTCCTCCTAGTTATTGGAGCCATCAGGAATAAATTAACCTTCATGTCTCAAAAACTGAAAACCAGAAAAAACATTTGTATTCAGACACTGGTCAGCAGGCAGTGTAAGGGATCCCTATAATTGCTACAGATAACTTGCTGGGGACAATTTCCGGGAGCACTGTCAGGAGGGTCGACATTGCCTTCAATGTCTGAGAAGACCGACATTTGTTTATGTAAATAAAATCATCATGTCCACAGTTTAAAGTCGCACGCAGAAGCCGGAAACACGCGGGACCAGCCGGCAGCGAGGCAACCAATCCCGAATGCAGCGAGTTCTCGCGATACCGTGAATCCACGGCCTGACGTCACGGCCTGACGTCACGGCCCTGGCAACGCAGGCGAAACAAGAGGGTGGGTGGCGCCGGCAGCGCTTTGCCGGGAGCGCAAACTCTGAGGAAAACAGACCTTAATCTGCGTTGGCTCTGCTAGCCAACATGAGTGGCCTGGAGGGGGTCGAGAGGACACCTTTTCCCGAATCCCGCGGCCTCGTCACTCCAGACCGCGTCCAAACAGAGGTGGCACAGATGATGGCGGAGTCGGGTGAGGGATGCTTGGAGACCGTTGCGCTCCCGCTCCCCGGCTTTCGGAGGAGGCGGGTGTACGGCGGGGTCCCCCGGACTGTGGTCATCTCCGCCAGATCCCAGCGACCGCAACTCTGCAGGAGGCGACCCCGCCCCCCACCGAGGGCCCTGGAGCAGCTTCTGTGTCTGCGGCAGCGGACATCAGCCCGAAAAACGGCTTTCGGGCTGGGGAGGAGGCCCTGGAAACCCGTGGTGCCGAGAGGCCGGGGTCTCAGGTTCCGGTCGAGGAGGTGAAGGCTGAAAAGTGCGCCATCTTCTCTGTGGCAGTGGAGGAAGAGAGGCCCGAGGTGCAGGAGACGATAGAGGGGGAGCTCAGGGCGGCAGGTGAAGCAATGCAGGTGGTGGAGGAAAGGAGAGCAGTGGAGGAGGTGGAGGACGCAGGGCCCTGGGCCCTGAACGTGGACCTCCGCATGAACCCTCTGGAGGCCATCCAGCTGGAGCTGGACACTGTGAATGCTCAGGCCGACAGGGCCTTCCAACAGCTGGAGCAGAAGTTTGGGCGAATGCGTCGGCACTACCTGGAGCGGAGGAACTACATCATCCAGAATATCCCGGGATTCTGGATGACTGCCTTTCGGAACCACCCCCAGTTGTCCGCCATGATCAGGGGCCAGGATGCAGAGATGTTGAGGTACATAACCAATTTGGAGGTGAAAGAACTGAGACACCCTAGAACTGGCTGCAAGTTCAAGTTCTTCTTTCGAAGAAACCCGTTCTTCAGAAACAAGATGATTGTCAAGGAATATGAGGTCAGATCCTCCGGCCGAGTGGTGTCTCTTTCCACCCCAATCATATGGCGCCGGGGACACGAACCCCAGTCCTTCATTCGCAGAAATCAAGACCTCATCTGCAGCTTCTTTACTTGGTTTGCAGACCACAGCCTTCCAGAGTCTGACAGAATTGCCGAGATTATCAAAGAGGACCTGTGGCCAAATCCACTGCAGTACTACCTGTTACATGAAGGAATCCGTAGACCCAGACGTCGTCCTATAAGGGAGCCTGTGGAGATCCCTAGGCCCTTTGGGTTCCAGTCTGGTTAACCTTGGCCAGACTGGAATACTGAGATACGGCTGCACAAGGCCCCTTCCCACCTACTACTGAACCAGTGCTCGAGCAAGGACAATGGGTATGCTTCCAAACCCCTCCCCACCCCTCCTGGCTTTTCTGCACTCTCTTCTCTGGATAGTCAGTTCTCGCAACCTCAAGACTGAGACTGTTGACATCCTTCTCCACTTCACATGGCCTCCACGCTGTTCTGTAGTAATGTCACATGCTGTGACCGTGTTTCACAACACTTCTAAGCAAAGCAAATGATGCTGTGGATTGTACTGTCTTTACACTGCTTGGATCCTGTTTTCCTCAGCCTTTGGATTTGTTTACTAACACCTGGATTTCTGGCTTTGTCTAGGAGTGCATTGTACTCATCCTGTTCTGCATGGGGCAGTGTACAGGCAGGAGGTCTGTGGACACTTACTAAGCATTAGTGATGTCAAGGGAATACAGCAGTGGGCCAGTTTTTCTGTGTAATTTATGCTACTCCATTACTCTTCTGCACCACTGGTTATTTTAATGTTGACTGCTGTTTGCTGTGCCAACCTCCCCTGAGCATTGCCAAGGTCCCTTTCTCCCACTCTTCCCCCTTCTATTTTTTAAAGAAAAAAAAAAAGTTCAGAAACATGCAAAAGCAGGCTTTGAGCTTATTTTGGCTCTTAACAGTGCAGATTTTGATGCTTTCTCTTTATGTATGACCTGATGTGAAAGATTAATATTGTGCCCTTATTATTTCTCCAGAATTTAGTAAAATATTGTTGTTTTCTATTTCTTTTTACTGGAAACATTTAGCTGTTTGCTTTCATTTAGGAACATTTGGAGTAACAGTCTTTCCTGTACAGTATTGAAACTTAAGTGAGTATTCCTAACAGTTTTCAACTTGTTCTTATTTCTGTTAAACTGTATTCTTAGAAATATAGTTTGGATGACTTGGTCTTTATCAGACGTGTAAAATTATTTTCTTTGTGGAAAAATAATTACAAAAAAGTGTGGCTTGATTGCTTTGATAATTTGCTCTGGTAACAACTTAGAAATTGATGTGTCTCTTCCTAAATTGCATAAATGCTTGTGGTATTACTCTGTGAAATTAGAAGTGTACCATTGGCATATTTGTCTTCCTTTATATGCATCATGGTAAAATAAAAGTATGTCACACTGCTAGATTTGTTCCTTTTCACCTGCCCATAAACATACTTGAATGCAATTGTTCAGTTAATGACAAATTATGGAATTACTAAATTTCTTAAATGGACACATTAGACCTTATTCCAAAGGTATGAAAACAGCACAATACTGAACCTCCCAAGGTAGGGAGAGTAGTTATTTCTGCCATTGTTTTGCTTTAAAATGTTAACATTTCCAACTGCTTAAGATGTCAGTTTTTGGAAGCATGAAACCCTGAGTTCAAACCCCAGTTCCACAAAAAAAAAAAATCAGTTCTTTTCATATTGTTCAGCACCACCACCCCTTCACGTCCTTAAATCCTCCATTTTTCTCTCCATAAATTATATCCTCAGTTCACTCAGGCTATTCCTTTTATTCCTTTCACTCAAACATGGGAAGTTAACAAACAAAATTTTTAGGGAGTGTCTGTCATGTAATGTGCTGTTTTAGTCCCATACTGTCTCATCTGTGAAAAAGTTACTCATTGTTTTCTACAAACTGCCTCACCACCCTCTTCTGTCAGATTATTTAAGGCCTGTTCTAGTAACTCCTCTGCCTTGTAGCCTTTCTTGTTTCTCTGTGAGAGATAATTTTGTGTGTGTGTATACTTTGTAGGAAATGACACATAACTATTATAGTGAATTATGCAAATATTCATTAAGGCATTCTGTTAGGCCCTGGGAAGAGAAAAAGAATAAGTAGATAAATTCTATTCCTTTCTAAATTGGGGAAGGACTGATACGTAAACAAGTAATTGATAGAGTGACTTAGTAAAATACAGAAGTATATTTTTCACATTTTCACCCTTTTCCTTCTCTTACAGTTTAGAAACTGTAAGGGTATAGTAGCGTGTTGTTAGAGTAGAATATTGTGAAAGTAGGGCTAGAGTATAGTTTACATCCCTCACTGCATTTAAGATAATGTTTAGCACATAGTTGTCAGCAGATAAATATTGAATGACGGAGTGAACAGCTCAGATGGGGGATAAGAAAAACAAAAACACAAAACAAAACAAAAACTAATGCCCAGAGGTAATGGGAAAGTTTTGTTACCTTGCCTTAAAAAGGCATGTGGATTTTTTTTTAAAGGCATGTGTAAAAATGATGTAAAAAAGATTTGCAAAGCCATTTGTAAAGAACAAAATTTCTCATTTTAGTGATTAGAAAATGTCCAAATATTTTACTGTTTAATCTTTCACCTGACATAACATACTACTTAATTTTGGATCACCTTTTATGTAATTTTTTTTTGTACATTTTGATGTTACTACTACACCGGAGATTGGAAGTTATATTCTAGACATGTGTTGTCCAAAACAAGAGTAGCCTTTAGCCACCAGTTGCTATTGAGAACTTGAATTGTGACTGCTCTGAAATGAAATCTGCTATACGTATGAAATACAGATTGGATTTCAGAGTTAATATGGAAAGTAATATAAAATATTTCAAATTTTCATATTGATTGCATATTGAAAATATTTTTGACATGGGATTAAATGTATTAATGAAATTAATTTCCCCCATTTTTCATCATTTAACATAGCTACTAGTAATTACATAAACCAGCATGACTTATACTTGCTGGTAAATATCTCAAAGTATATAAAATATTTGTAAAAATTAAACATGTAATTTTCACCCCATGAATTTATTTTGGGACTCTTCAGGATTACCTGGTCAAAATTCAAGGCAGGAAAAGTATAGCCAGAGGCTAGTGGATAAGAAGAGTGTAAAATAGCTTTAATGAACTTTATTAAGATGTACTGAGTCGTTTGCAAATTGTACTGTGTACAAAATGCCCTATATTTCTGGATATAGGTAGGATAGACTTGGGTCCTAAATTGACACCCATGGTTATATTGGATATTTAAATTTATAACTAAGATCCATAGATTCCTGTTTTTCTAAAATAAAATGGCTTTTTTAGTTTTACAGATACACATATACTTAGAAAATACAGTAATTCAGTCATTAAACATACCATTTTGTACATGTTATATGGGCTCCATATTTTAACAAGTGGCTAGCAACTGAAAGGGAAAATGGTCTGAGTCTAGCATTGTACCAAGCCAACTCAACAAATGCTTACCACTTGAAGGAGCATACTTTCTTTTTGAAAATTAATGTGGTCTTATAATTGTGGCAATCTTAACTAATTATTGATTATGGATATTATTGTAAAGATTAAATAGGATAGAAAAGACTCAAAACATTGTATGTACATATGAATAAAAGATAAAAAACATAAACATTAAGTAGGCTAGAATTAGGATAATATTAAATAGTAATACAGATTAAATAGGATAGTATTGATTTTTTTTTTTTTTTTTGTCCTTGCTCTGGATGAACTCACTCACTGGAGGGAATGCCATGCCTATGATGCTTGTACCTTGACTTTTGTTGATCACTGTTTGCTCTTCTTCAACAAGTATAGTCAAATTCAAATCTGGCAAGGAGGAGGTGACAGATGATCAGGACCATTTCCCTGAGGGCCAACTTTCCTTCCTCAGTGTTACTATGAATCTTAGACTGTACATAGAAGTGACAGATGCACCTCTTTATCCATTAATAGTGTGGGATGTATTTTACTTGGGAACAGTACTTTCTCCATGTTTAGGTGCTTCGTTTGAGCTCTGAAGGGCTACTTTTATCCATTGAGAGATACCTGAATCCATTTCCTCTAGCCTCAAGTTCTCAAGACCTACAGAAAAGTTTCCACCAAACCACATTAGGACAAATGTGCATGTCTACTTTTTGAATCTACTTTTTAAAAAGGCAATTTACTTGAGAACAGGCAGGAGGACATGGGTTACTTAAGAATGAAATGAGTCACTTAGATAAGCTACTAATTTTTATAAATTGATGGCTTAGAAATGGCTTGATGGACAAGGGAATACACTTGTTTTAAATTGGGATTAAATCACTTTTTTAGAATTAGCACATAGAACATTGGCCAAAAAAAAATCCCTATGTCTCAGAGCCTCAGTTTTCTTATCCATAATGTACAGAAGAAGAGATATTATCTGCATTGTAAGATTTTTTTTTTTTTTGGCAGCAGTGGGGTTTGAACTCAGGGCTTCATACTTGGTAGGCAGGCATTCTACCACTTGAGCCATCTAGCCAGCCCAGTAACTGCGTTATAATAAGCTAATGGTCCAGGATGCATTTGGAGAATGCATTATAAGGTTGTACAGAGGATAGCAACAGCATACATTTGAAACTTTCTGTGTGCTTGATACTGCTAAAAAATTCCAAGTATTACCATAGTTACAATAAAAGAAGTTAGAATGAAAATACTAGTACAATGCCTGGCATAACATGTAATCGATAACTTCTCATTTAATTTACATTCAGAAAAGTAGTCATCTAGCTTAATGTTTCTCACACCTGTATATTATAGCTGCAAACTTTGAAAAAATAAAATACCCAGATCTATCCCAAACCAATTCAGTTAGATCCTAAGGTGCAGCCAAGCACCTAGCTTAATGTTTCTCACACCTGTATATTATAGCTGCAAACTTTGAAAAAATAAAATATCCAGATCTATCCCAAACCAATTCAATTAGATCCTAAGGTGCAGCCAAGCTTGAGAATCATGTATAATCTGAACAACTCAAGTGAGGGAATATCTAGTCCTTTTCCAGTTTTGTCAAGTTGAGTTGATTTGAAGTTTGCCACCTTAGAACATCCCAACCATTTTCCAAAGGGCCTGGCGTATAGGAGGCTCTCAGTACATGTGCCTCCATATATTACCTCTTCTGGTCTAGACGAATGGAATTTGCCTTAGTGATATAAGGCTTGGCACCTATTGATTACTCTTTGCCCATCTAAAGTGTTCAAAGATGTTAATAGATTTTTGGTATTATCATTTCTTTATTAAGGTATAATTTGTATACAGCACAAAAAATTCATAGCAGCTTTATGCATAATAGATATAAACCAGAAACAAATGTCCACCAACAAGTGAATGGATTAACAATGTATAGTTTGTTCATACAATGGGACATCATTCAACAGTAAGAAGGAACAACATGGATAAGTTTTAAAAACATGTTACGTGAAAGACACCAAAGGAACTGTACGTACTATATGAACTTTTAAAAATTATTCTTCAGTGCTGGGCACAGTGACTCACACCTGTATTTCCAGCTACTCAAGACGTGAAGATTATGGTTGGAGGCCCGTCTGGGCAAATAGTAAGCGAGACTGCACTTCATCTCAAAAGCTGGCATGGTGGTGCGTACCTGTGATCCCAGATATTCTGGAAGCATAAGTAGGAAGATTGTAGTCCAGGCTGGCCAGGCCAAGCAATTCAAGACCTTATCTGAAAAATAAATAAAGCAAAGCAAAAAGGAGTGGGAACGTGACTCAACTGGTAGAGTGTGCGGCCCTGAGTTCAAATCTTAGTACTGTCAAAAAAAAAAAAAGATTCTTCAACTCTAGATCAAAATCGATTTTTTTTGTTGCTGTTGTTAGAACTCAGGTGTTTAAACCCAGGGTCTCATGTTGTACCACCTGAGCCACTCCTTTTTTTTGGTGGCACTAGAATTTGAACTGAGGACTTCATGCTTGCTAGGCAAGCATTCCACCACTTGAGCCACACTTCCAGCCCAAAATTGATCTTTCTAAAGGTTCTTTTAACTTACAAACTAAGAAGTATGTATGAAGTTTGCTAAGTAAAGTATTGACGTGCTCAAAAGATTATTTCCCTAGGGCACTGCCAAGAGTCTGCTTGAGCTTCCCTTTCCATTTCTGAACATTAAAATGCCCATAGGATACTCTTACTTCTTAAGCTCTAATCTCCTGTCTATTACCCTAAAGCAGTGGATCACAGAGGTGGTCTCCAGACTAGCACCATCTGGATCACATTATAATGCAGATTTTCAGACCATATTCCTGATCTATTGAAACACATGTGGATGTGAGGCCTAGCAACAACGTTTACTCATGCTTTAGGTGATGTGGGAACCATTGCCCTAAACTCTT